AATACAACCTTCTTTATTGGGGTTCCCTGTCCATAAGTACGGTTAAGTGCCTTAATCGAGCTATCCGGTATTGTCCAAATTGAGGCTATGTACCACATCATAGAGAAGACCGAGGTGTTGAGAACTAGTACTCGACCTATTAGTGAGGTGAATGTGTTCCCCCATCTCCCTAGTTTGTGAATTTGCTTTGTCAGGACGTTTTCGGCCATTTGGGGCGCCAGACCGTCCATCGTCATCAGGATGCCAAGGTAACGGGTCGGGGTGTCCGGCGTTTCCCACGTCATGGCGGCCTCTGGCCCTTCCTCGTCTGATAGCCACCACCCTACCGTCTTTTTCCAGTTGATCCTCATCTCTGAGGCCAGTCTGAACGCTTCCATCGCTCTGGCCACCGTTCTGAACGAGGAGTCTGAGGCTCTAATCAGGACTGTGAGATCGTCGGCGAACATGATTACTGTTGGAAAAGTCATATGATGGCCCGACCTCACATTGCCTTCCGGGAGTCTGTGGATGGACGGATCCTTGCGTAAGAAGGACGCAATAGCTTCCATTACGAATAGGAAGATCGAGGCTTTTCCAGTCATTCTTATTGCGTTTTTTTAACTTCTTTTTCTTTTTCTTTTTTTGACACAACACCCACACGTGCCCCATCTATTCCTGGAGGCGGCAATCCTATTGCTTATCCCCGGCAAACATGATTCATTTTTATTGTTATTATGCATAATAAGAGGATGGTGGAGATGATGAGGGGGAGAGATCGAGGCGAGAGACTGGGAGAGAGGGAGAAGTGAAATTGCTTCCAGCTTGTGTTTATCTGCTTCTTCTTCTCCTCCTCCTACTCTTCGTTCTTCTTCTTCCCTGCTCTTTTTTTTTTCTTTTTTCTTTTTCTTTTTTTCGAAAAACACCCGCTGGGGACGCTACCCCGGGCAACCCCGAGTAGCACCGCCCCACGGTTGGCTCCTGTCTATTGGTGGGGAGCAAAGCCTGCTGGAAACCAGGTCCAGAGTCCCATACAGAACTGACTATACAAGGGCCACTACCAGGCTTGGGCTTAGCAAGGGTGCAGAAGCTCACTCTTACAGAGTCCAGACCACACAAATGTCCCTTACGCAATTAGTATTTACACACTCAACACCTTCAGTTAGGGCTGAGGAATCCTGAGACAGCAGTATTGATTGCTCCCCTCAAGGAGGATTTACCCCTGCTCACGTCTGTCATCCGTACGGTACATTTCTCTGCTCCCCCACCCCTTTCCTGTCCTTGTCGTCCCTCTCCTGTTGGACTCACAATAATCTATACCCTCCTCTGGCGTTTGAGCTGCAATGGAGTGACATTGTCTCTCTGTGAATTTCCATTACGAACTGACCAGGATCATAGCGGTTGGTATCGGAGCACGACTTGCTCACACGACAAGAGGTTGTTGAGATGCCCTAACCCTAATCCGAGTTGATTAGGGCATGCCAAGTCAGATAAGGGCTTGATTCAAGTGGAAGCGGGTGGAGCACGACTTACACGGCAAGAGGTTGTTGAGATGCCCTAACCCTAATCCGAGTTGATTAGGGCATGACAAGTCAGATAAGGGCTTGATTCAAGCAGAAGCGGGGTGGCAAGAGGTGTGGAAGCTGCCTCCACCTGGATTAAGGCTTGTTGGGCCTCAGATTGACCCTATTCGGCTCGGAAGGGTGGCGAGACACAGGGGTTGGCTAGGTTACCTGGTGTGCTCTGAAGGGGAAGAGAGTGAGCGGTGACCCACACCTGCATTTGAGCTCAAGGAGGACCCGGAGTGACCAGTTGGCTTCACTTCAAGCATGCAAACATCGAGATGGGGCAGCTGCAGCTGTACTGGATGAGTGTTGGTTGTTGATCAGTGCTCAACACCAACGTGGGATGCGGTGGCGTATTTTGCTGTAGGACAGACCCTCCTGGCATAGGTATGCTGGAGTGCGGTTTGCCGTGGTAGGTCATGAGGTGTAGCACTCCTAGAGCCTTCTACATGGGCCTACGGGCCAGACACTTGGTCCAAACGGAAACTATAGCCAAGCAGGCTGCCGTTGCACAGGCAGGCTCTTCCAACATGTCAGATCGGGTTGATGGCTTGGAGATCCAGCTGGTAGGTTTGCTGTCCTGACTCTTGACGTCAAGGTGCAGCAGATGCCAGTTTTCTGCAGCAGCCAGCGGCAACACTAAGTGCAGTCACAGTCCGGCTCCCTAAGCTATACCATATTGAAGTCTTTTCTGACACCACCAAGACCAACCTGACTCGATGGTGGACCAAGTTTTCACTGGACCTAAACATGCAACAACTGGTCCCAGATCAACTACAATTCGGATGCTTGAACCAGTGATCTGTTGGCGCCTGTCAAAGTTGGCTGGAGAACTTGACTGCGCAATATAACATGCACATCTTCCAGCTGCACACAAAGATATTGTGGGCTGACCTCACCGCCACATGGAAGCAGCAGGTCCAGATGGAACTGCCGGAGATGACGGCATTGACGAAGATCACTTACTTCTATTAGAACAACAAGATCACGTCGTCTGCAGAGCGGATCACCAAGTTTCAACAGCTTGCATCCACTCCCTATCTGCCATTGCAGTTCACCGGCATCAAGCGCTACTTCATCGAGCGGTCAAGTTCTGAATTGCAGCAAGCTCTGATGCGTCATGCTGAGCAGCTCAACGACGGGGAGCAAACTTTTGAACAAGGTATCAGATTCTGCAATCTTCCACAAAAAAGTTGGAATGTCGCAGCTTGCAACCTGACGAACACATGGCTGCATATTCCTGCTTTGAAGACTCTGCCTTACACAGTGTTTGAGCCAATTGGCCTGTATGACAGTGTATGTAGGAAAGCAACAACCGACTAGTGCAATGAACCTCTCAGTTTGTCACCAATGAGTGCACACACATGCATACATGCACACATGAGATCGCATGAAATCACACTGTAGTACAGAGACTCGAAGACCAATAGCTTAGCTTAAGAAATTCCAACAAACTAACACATGATTAATTAAGAGTTCCAGTCTCAAGCGCTCATCAGCGCAATGCCAAGTAACCAGTATCCAGTATCATCATCGCACAGGTAAGTGACCACTCTCACTGCTTCTCTCCCTTCTTTCCTCCCTTCTGGTCTTCTCTCTGCCTATGTCCTCCTTTCTCTCCTCTCTTCTGGTCTTCTCTCTGCCTATGTCCTCACTGTGTCTTCTCTCCCTACCTGCATGCACTCACACTCTCTACCACTCAAGGACCAGCTAAGCACTGGCACAGCTATGGCTGCTCCCTCTCTCTCCCTCTAACAGCGCAGCTTCCTGGCTCAGCGCTCCGCTCCTCACAATCGCGGAGAAGTGCACCAGCACTTCCACACTTCATGCAAATGAGCAATCTGCCCGAATGGGGAGGCTGGCCAGTCCTTACATTGACTTGGATTGAGCTTCAGCTCGACTCAGCCTCTGCTTCTTGTGGCTTGACTTGGCACTGGTACCACATCCCCACGGCCTGTTTGCTTCAGAATGTCAGGGCCTGGGAGTCACGACTCTTCACTTGTGAAACAAGACTTTTGACTGTGGGTTGTGACCCTTGCCTCTGGGACACGACTTCTGCTTGGGAAAGTGTCCTTTGCCTGCGGAACATGACTTTTCAATATGACTCTTCAATATGAGACCGACTTTTGCCCCTGGGATGTGACTATTAACTGGGTGCCTTTGGACTTGACTCCTAAGGTACCCGAGTGTGACTTCTCTGAAACTGACCGACTTGGCCTTTCTTGGCCTAGGCCCTTGACCCTGAAATTCGAGTTTAAGGGCTGAATCGTGGAAGGTCTTTCACTAGAGAATACAGACAATTCAGTACTGCAGAAATACAGACAACTCAATACTGACTGTACTAAGTCTTTGTCGTAGCAGGACCAGGGTTAGACCAGATACATGTGGGTTCAAATGTGGACCACAATACCAGCATTATACCATGACCAGGATTATACCAGGACCACAATACCAGGACCAGGGTTATACCAGATACATGTGGATGCATATGTCGACCACAGTACCAAGGCTGTTGCAACAGGGCGCCGAGCAGTCCATTGAGTCCAGCATTTTTACAACAGTGCTGGTGTGACTGCTCCATTAGACAACTGCATAATCTGCATTCCCGGAGAAAAGCTCTGCATCTTCTTCTTCTGGCATACACCACAACTAATTTTGGAATAAACAGAACCCTTGAAACAAAAGTGATGGCAAACAGGAAGAAGTTGGAACGTCGAACCCTCACCATTCATTGGAGTCCGGATTTCATGTGTAACTGTTGCAAGAAACTGACCTGATAACATAACAATTATTCAAGCAATGTACAAGCACACACACACAAACACACGCACGGCACACACAGACACACACACACACACACACACACACACACACACACACACACACACACAAAGAGGACGCCTTGTTATAGCCGAGTCATGAACACAGGGGCCATGCTAATCAATCTGTGCTCGGTATCGTTCCAATTTTTACGGATATCCCAAAAAGACACTTTCTGATGCCTTCTTCTTCTTTTTTTTTTTTTTAAACCACCACTACCTTTCCAAGCTGTAGTCTCAATTGGGAAAATGACCTCATCCAAAAAGTTTGGGGGTCCGGAGTAGGGTAGGTAGGAAAAAAAAAAAGAAAAAAAGATTGGGACCCCGCAGTCCCCCAGTGAGAAAAAAAAGAAGAAACTAAGAACTTCGAAACCAGCGACTTCGGGGAAGGCCCTCACGACGTGGAAGTCACACCAGTGCTCTGAGGAACATATCTGGCCAGCATCTGGGGAACGTGATTGCTCATGTTTCGGTTTTTGTTTTCCTACTGTTCATTTCTCGTTGGTGCCCTGCCCGCGAGGCAGGGCGGATTCCACTGGGGGCAGCCAACTTCCTCGCTCACGTCATACTCACACCTGCACTGTAGGATCCTGTATTCGACCGCGATAGCAGCATAAGGGAAGTTCTGTTTCCCTCTGTCCTTAATCCGTTTTTCATAGGGACAGATGTCCTCACTGAGGGCACAGTCTCATCAGCACCTCATAGAATGCATCTGATGGCTATCACGGCGTGTGGGGAAGTTTTTTTTCTTCTTCTTCTTCTTCTTCTTCTTCTTTTCTTAGAACTTCGAAACCAGTACTTCAATCCATTACACGACTTTCGCCCTACCCACTGTGCTAATGTTCGCCGACAACCTCACTGTCCTCATTCGTGCCAACAACGGCTCATTCCAAGCCCTTGTAAAAACAATGGCAGCCTTCAGACTGACATCGGAAATAAAGGTCAATTGGGGCAAAACCAAAGGATGGTGTCTAGCAGACAGGACCCCCCCCAACCGGCCGATACAGCCACACCCATGTCATGGTCTACAGGAGATCAGGCACTAAGGTTCCCTGGTATCATGGTAAACAAGGACGGAGTGTGGCCAGGCATGGGCCAAAACCTAGTCGCCAGGGCAATCACTCACATGGCCCCGTGCAAAATGCCCAGGCCTCGTTAATCGGAAGAGCACTATGAATTAACACGGCAATCTTCTCCACACTGTGGTTCATCGCATCCATCCGGTCCCCCCCTGACGATGACCACAAAACGCTAAAAAACAGGGTCAGATGCTACTTATGGACCGGAGACCCAGAGAGGACCACGTGTATCAACAGGGTAGCCTGGATCCACATCATCAGGAAACCGCAGCAAGGGGGGCTGGGGCTTATTGATCCCAAACGGGAATCCATAGCACTTGCAGATGAAATGGATTATCAAGATCTTGATAAGACAATTCATTCCATGGACCCAAATGACTCTGGACAGCATCAGAAATCTAGCACCTATCAACTCCCCTCCGAACATGTGAGGTCTCTTCTGGATAATGGCGAAGGACTGGACAATCGAATCAGGCAGACAAAGCAGAAGAAACCCAGCAGATCGTATTACAAGCCCTACTCCAACAACAAATTCATACTGGAAGCCAACCCTCAAAGCTTGGCGAAGAATGACGCCGAGCAAACACGGTGCACCAGGAAACAGAGAAGAGGTCCTGAGACAACCTCTGTTCTGCAATTCCTGGATTGTAGACCTGAGTGGCTCACCCTGGACACTACGCACAAAACACAGGAGATGGCTATCCTGGGTGGAAAAAGGGGTGCGGCAGGTGACACACATCTGGGCAGAAGATCAAAGACAATGGCTAACCGAACAGGAGCTCTGAAATGAATTAAAAGGCTGCCACGCCCTCACAGAAAATCTAACACACATTCAGAAGAGCATCCAACACAGTGGCTCTTCCTCTAAAGGGAGAACTTCTCGTGGAAATCCGGGGACTGGGGCATACTCATTTCCCAAACCCACCCTCGCAGAGCTTACCGATTTGTTTCTCGAACCAAGGCACCCAGCTACCTCTCCAAATTCTTCTCCTACCCGATCACTAATCACAACCTACAAGAACTGGAAGTCATGAACAAAGAACCCCAGTGTGACATGCTGGAATCCTTCCGACTGAGGAAAGAAGAGTCACAAAAGTCAAACCCTGGATAGTCTTCCAACCTGATCTCTGCATCTCAGACCTCGAATCCGACCTGAAAGAGTGGATCTGCAAACAGGGGAAATCCGGGGAGAACAAAAACGATATTTGAATACAATGTAAAATTTGGTTACGACTCTTATGAGTCTTATGACTTAGGATTACAAACTACAGACCCAGATCCCAGACTCAAAGAAAAATGGAGGGAGATCCTGAACCTAGAAGCCACTGACCCAGTTTCCATCCCCTGGACAAAGTACCTGTCCATCAGACCGGTTAGGATCCGAAGCATGCGGTGGCTCATAGCCCACGCATCCCTGCCCGTCAACCGATTGGCTCCACAAGAGGAGGAAACATACGGATCCCGACAGCTCCGGATTACGTGTTATGTGCACAGACAACAGACCAGAAGACATACCCCACTGCCTCTTGTACTGCACTGAAGCAACCTGGATATGGAACAAAGTTCGCGACCTATGGTCCCTCCTCTTCTCATCACCCCCTCCACCCACATCTCCTCAAAACATCCTCCTTCTATCCAACAGTACTAACAATCTTGAAGGCGGCAAGGAAATCTGGTTTCACCTTCTCAGGAAGCTGGCTCTGTGGGTGATCTGGAAAAGGAGGTGTACCAAGACTATCGACAGAACTGCGGTGGCAAGGGAAGAAATGTGGGGCCTATTGTTGAGTATGACGGAAACTGAGATTCGGTGCAGATGGAGGGAGGTTACATCAACAGCGAAAGTCAGACCAGAAAGGCTAGCCATCAAGAGACGTTCTTTCATGAGAGACTGGCTCCTACAGGGAAAGATCGCAACAGTGGCAGATACTAGATTGATCTGGAAAAAGATGGCACAGTGAAACTCCAGCAAGGACGACGACCCAGCGATGGGGAAACTGAGACTGTAGTCTCAACAATACAGACAACTCTCCTCTTTTCTTGTTGCACACGAACTATATGACAGAATCAAAATGGATTCTGAGAGTAAAAGCGGTAGGGCAAGCTGACAGTCAATCCTCCTACATAGGAGCAATCAATGCTGGTCAGGGTTCCTTCGGGCAGACGGAAGGAAGCGTGAGAGTGTTCACCACGTATTCCAAATCTCGACTTGCCGGTGGACAGGAACCGGACTGATGCTCCTCAGAATGGATATGGAGCCAGAACCATAAGGACCTGTTTTTATTTATAAAAATAAAAGAACTTTGAAACCAGCGACGTTGAGGAAGGCCCTCACGACGCGGAAATCACACCAGTGCTCTGAGGAATGTAACTGGCCAGCATGTGGGGAACGTGATTGCTTATGTTTTGGTTTTTGTTTTCCTTTTTCGGTTTCTCATTGGTACCCTGCCCGCGAGGCAGGGCGGATTCCACTGGGGCCAGCCAACTGCCTCACGCATGTCATACTCACACCTGCACTGTAGCATCCTGTATTGGACCACGAGAGCAGCATAAGGGAAGTTTTTTTTTTGCCTTTCATTTGTTTTTCGTAGGGACAGTGCCGTCACTGAGGGCACTGTCTCACCAGCACCTCATAGAATATATCTGATGGCTATCACGGCTCGTGGGGAAGTGTCTTTTTCCTTTCTTCTTTTTTTCTTTTTTTTGTTCTATTTGGGATGTAATGGCCGTGAGTACCAGTCTAGAAATAAGAATGGGACCCAGGCTCGGCAAAACTCGGCGCACAATGAAATTCAGGTTCGGCAAAAACAGGATCGGAGGTAGTGGTGATTTAATAGGAGCTTTCTGATGGATGGCTGTGCCGGCAACTGGCCCGTTGGACTCCCGGTGATCCAACTGGAATTCCGGTTTGGGCCCAAAAGTGGGTCAATTTTTTTTTACTTTTTTA